CGGATCCGCTGTCTCCATCGTTTCCTGGGGCTCCGGCTTGTCCTGGTTGTCCTGGGGCTCCTGGAGCTCCAGCATCTCCTTGTGGTCCTGGTTGTCCTGGTTGAGCGGATCCAGATTGTCCTGGTTGTCCTGGGGCTCCGGCTGGTCCTGGTGGTCCTGGTGGTCCAGCTGGTCCTGGGGTTCCTGGAACATCGACGATTTGTCCTGGGGCTCCTGGGGCTCCGGCGTTTCCGTTGGATCCTGGTTGTCCGGCTGGTCCTGGTGGTCCGGCTGGTCCTGGTGGTCCTGGAAGAGCATTTCCTCCGGATTGTCCTGGGGCTCCTGGGGCTCCAGATGGTCCCTTTTGTCCTGGGGCTCCGGCTGGTCCTGGTGGTCCGGCTGGGCAGTCGAAGCAGAAGCTGTCTGGTCCGGCAACAGAGTCTTCGGAAGCATCTTGTCCTGGGTTTCCTGGGGCGCCTGGGGCTCCGTCGTTTCCTGGGGCTCCGTCTTGTCCTGGGGCTCCAGCTGGTCCAGCAGCTCCGACTCCGCAAGAGCAGCACGATCCTCCGGCAGATCCTCCGAATCCTCCGACAGCGGCGTCTCCTCCGTATGATTGTCTGCGGACCTTGGATGCTCTACGGGCTCCTCCGACGGCACGGTGGTAGGTATCACGCTTGATTCTTCCAGCAACTCCAGAGACTCCCTCGAACTAAGAATGGGACAGTTAATTGGATATTTATTAAGATTTTGACTCACTCTTTGGTACTCATCCCAGAGTCCGTTGGATCTGTGGGCACAGAATTCAACCTCGGATTGAAGGGAAGATTGAACGTGTTGCATGTAGTTGTAAAGCATTGGGACGGCAACGATGGCGGTTAAAGTAGCAATGGTGGAAACTGCGATTCCGAAGAATGCAACCTTGCGGAGAGACTCAGTCTCATAAGCGATTTGTTTTGGATCCTCAGACGACATCTGAAAATAGAAGAGAATATTGACCCAGCTTCACAGGAAAGTTTAAAACCTACATTATTGAAATAGACTGGACCGGGAAGTCAAGTGCCATTAAGCGTACGCCGTCCGTTTATATACAGACCGTTGTGTAATACATTGCTAGTGTACGGTGGGAAGGATGTGAAAATCTAGAAAGTCGTTCTTCTCTAGTCATTTTTCTTCGTTGTCTTTTCATTTCCTGGTTTATGACTAGCTCGAGGTGAAGAGGTTTTTTTTCTGATGAAGGGTCATTTGAAAAGTGATCGGTTTTCTAATTCCTATAATTGGAAAAGTAAAGCATGACCCTAAATAATGAACAGAAAAATTGTTATCAGAAGACAGAAAATAAGGCTGTTTTGTTGTGAAAAACCTCTTTAAACTATCTATGTA